GTTCACAGTGCACGACTGTAGAAAGGTGCGAGAAACCCCCTAAACAATATGTTCTCCCCGTTTATTTAATTCACAGCTTGGTCATGATATAGAGACATTATAACTCAGGATCTAATGGATATCTAGTACTTAGTGAAATGAATATTGGATATTACAGTAGGACGCTACGCGACCATGTCTGGGATATAGTTAAGCTGACTATGTCGAAATGCGAAGAGCTTTGTCCAAAGCAGTATGACCCATAGGCTGGGCTGAATGGAAGAACATTGGGAAGTGGTAGAGACATTATTCACACATCAGTCACAGATACCGTCTCTCTAGTCACAACAAAGACGAAGAAAAGACCATCATGGCTGGAGAGAGGCACGCGACGTCTTCTGCAAGCAAGGCAGAAGGCTGGTCTAGGTAGAGAGTATCCAAGGGCCTGATCGACCACGATGTATACGTGGGACTCAAGAACTGGTGTAACACAAGAGTAGGTAATTTCAGATAAACCTTGTCAAAATCTTCTGTCAACCCCAAAATCCTGTATCTATTCATATGGGAGAGGAAGCCTACCAACTAGGGGCCATGCTCCTTAGTAGATCCAAACAATACCTTACTGTTTAGGAAGTGGCTGGAGCATTCACTTCAGCCTTTGACAAACAGTCAAGTAGCAATGTGGGTATTACTCCTATAGGCCACAAAGGCGGAACTGCTAATTTACCGAAATAAAACCTAGGAGCTACTCTCCAGATAAGACCGGCGATGGTACTAGGGAAGTTACGGAGATCCACACCTAGAACGTTTCCAGTGTATGATGACATCAGGCCATGTGTTCTGAAACAGTGCGCTGGAGCTCTCTGTAGGCCCTTATGCGACCTGTTCCAACACTAGATATATTCAAGGGAACTGCCAAGGGAGTGGAAGAGCCATGCCCTATCCTGTTCTCAAGGATGAGAATAGGTAGAATGCTACTAGTCATTGACCAGTAGAGCTACACCCGGTGGTATCAAAATTACTGGAAAGTCTACTTGATAATCACACCAGGGAACACCTCAATAGGACTAATAGAATACATCAAGCAAAGCATGATTTCAGGAAGGGTAGATCAAGCGTAACAAACCCACTGTCAGCTTGGAACGGTTGGACATTATACCAGGATATTAATTTTCCGGTCCACGTGACGTTCATGAACTTTAAGAAGGCATTTGATACAGTCTGGACTCAGTCCTTATGTCATTTCAGGATTGACCAGCCTTCACTCAAAGCTGCCCACGGACGGTGCAGTAGCCTCAGAATCCGGTAGAGAGTTTCGAGGGCGACAAACTCGCAGTGAAAAGAAATAAGAGCGCACTCTAATCTTTGCCCTCTGGGAAGCTATACTTGGTGGATTCGCACGACGAAGCCCATACATATTTAACGACAGAATACCTTTGTTTGGGTGATTCTGACCATTTGCAATATTACAGGCAGCAATTAAATCACTCCTAGGCCTTCAGGTGCGCAGTGTCACTACTTTTCACTTCCTCAGGTTGAAAGTCTGATTTATCATCAGCCAGTCTTCCAGAAGTTTTAGGTTTGCCTGCAGCCTATCTGAGTCTTCTGAGCACTTTATTGCTCTCCAAATCTTTACTTTGTCAGCGTGAAGAGGAGTCGAGCAGATTAGACAGCATGGTTTGCACTAGCTCGTGAAAATGATATTGGATTGGATATTGTATCTTGAAGCGGAATGTTTAGACCAGAAAAGTACTGCAGAAAAACAGCTGACTAGAGGGGATTTTTAAGATAACTAATTTGTAGTGGATCTTCATCTATTAAAAAATTGAGTCAGTTTAAAGAAGAGCTGGTATTTTAAAAGAGTAGATTGCACAGTCAGATTATTTTAAGTCAATCATCCATATCGATAACTCTCCGCTGCATTATAATGCGCCCCGGTTCCTCATACGTATGGTATTTTGACAGAATAAAACAGTCTTCACATATAAGTCCACTTCATTATGCCGCCTGTCGGCACAATAGCCACTTGCATAATTTGTCTCTACCCTAAATACAAAGTGATTAAGATTCTCTTACGTGTGTGTCTACAGTTCATGAGGAATTTGTTTTTTGAATTTATTTGCATATTTATTGCAAAGGAAATAAAATCCAGTTATCTTATTCTCAGCTATAGATGAAAAAATGCCACTTAATCCTAGTTAATCTCTATGCGCACACCCGATATCTATGGTCGGCCTGAATTTGGGCTACCGATATCCATGCTGAAAATTCCATGCTTGTACTTAAAATACGGTGTGGAATCAAGCTGTAAATCAAAATCAAAACAATAAATAAGTTAAATATTTCGTTTTCTTTCTCCTTCACTTTCTTCTATAAATAGTTCCAGTCTCTGTATCTGATACTCCATTTATTTTTATTACAGCAGTATACTGTATTTTATTACAATTTCTACTGTATTAATAGTGCTGTCTGTAAGTCTTCACTTCTACCGTCTCACCCATTATACCTGAGGAAACATCACTCGTATCGTGCTAGCTTTCAAATATTGCGTAACTGATCTGTGTTAACCTATTACTCTTTGTAATACTGCCTCACTCACAATATGGTACATGTATACATGTGCTTATAAGTATGAATCATCCCGTTACCTTACAAAACTGAAATTAGTCCGTTTGTAATTTCGAGATTGAGTTCTGTTTAAATGTGGATGAAATTTTCGATCGTATACCCGAATCTAGGGCAATGCCTACCGGCCTGAACCACATCTGACTCACTTGTAACTTCAGTAAGGGGGTTTTTGGTTATTTCTAAACCTCTAACGTGCATGCGGCCTTACTATATATCTACGAAAACCAACATTTATCAACTGGGGATTTATGGTGACATACATTGGGTCATCGTTTTCATTGGAGGGTTCCAAGCAGTCGAATTCTGTAATTAAATCTAAGCTTAGATGACTTGTCTTTGCACAAGGTGGAGATTGATTTTCAAGTAGTGTTTTCATTGTGAGGTATCAGCTTTCATACTCGCCACAGTTTATCTACCAGTTAGGAAAAGCAAAATACTGGTCAGTTTGTTGTTCCACTGATTGTAAGGTAGCCCTGTTAGGTTAACATCTAAATTACTTTGGTAGGGTATAAGCAGTGACTCTGTTTATTAGTTGGAAAAGGTAAATATATCTCAGAAGGCAAACTGATGGCTGTCGTACTTCATTTTGCTCCTATCGTCTAATTCATTTAATGGTATAAATTAGTCAACTCTTTTAAACATACTTTATATTTGTTGCATCCCATTTTACCACTTTGTTTTCTAAATATACCTTTTCTTTATGCTAATTTTGTTATCTTGTGTGGTACATTTCCTGATGCATGTTACGTATCCATCCCGTAACTGGCTACCACACCGAAAACAATTCTGTTTATAAAAGTATAAAACCAGAAAGGGATTTCCTGATGACAGTATTCCTGGAGTATGCTAATTTTTTATTTTTATTGCTTGTTCACGTGTGTTGGCACTTTTCTCAGTTTAACGACGATTAACAAACCTTGGTTCATCATAAAGCTAGGATTTTCGCGTTCCATCTGAGCATGTTTCGATTCTCTTCTTTTTGCGATCACTTCACTAAAATTCTTTTGTCATATCTGTAGAAAATATAAGACCCAAATTTTACAGGACATTCACTGTCGTAGGCTGGCTATCACTAATGATTAGGGATGTCATTGAATATTGAAGTGATCAGTGAAAAACGTGTAGAGGCTGCCAAAAATTACCAGACTCATCCACAACTAGTCACCTCTTCTGATCAGTTTCATACAATAGGACATGATTTCAGTTTCTAATTGACAAGCAGCAACCATAGCGGATTGATATGATAACTTGAGCGAAGTTTAAGGATATGTTGTATACCGCTGTATCCACTTTGTCTTTTGGTTCATAAGACATCGACCACGGGCTTTTTTTGATAAAAATAAAATGACCTCTAAAAATGAGGTAATCCCTCTAAAAACTGTTTACATGAACCGTAAGTTTTAAGCTAACGGTAGAGCAGTGCGAAATTCCGGACTTTTATATGACTCGTCACCAAAATTCGTAGAGAACATAAAAAGCACTTATTAAACGATTTAACAAGTCTTCTTAAAAGTTTATACTCCTAAACAAAAGTGCAAAACCAAAAAAGACTACAATACTTACTCTTAAAATGAATGGATTAGCGTAATGGGACACTGAAACGGTTGGAAATTCACCAAATCACTTGGGCAAGTGTTTTCGTTTGGTGGCAAAATAGATGTTTGTAATATCATTGTGTAGGTCCTTCAAGTGACCTTTGACAAATAAGTTACTCGCTCTTGATTGACTTTATCCTAGGCTATTACTTTCTTGAGTCTTTGTTTTCGGTAACAATTATCATGTCTCTGTTTTTTTCAGGTGCGAAAACCTAGGTTTTGGAATAACGCCTTGTAGAAATAGTTACGAAGGTGTACGTTAGGCTGATTATTATGAAGGACAAAGGCAAGCAAGCTATGTAGTTCTTATTTATTAAAACATTTGTATTGAATCCCTTGGGGATTTGATTCACTGCACTGAACTGCTTGGTCTGTCGACATACTGGCTTCTAGTACGAACGCTTCAACCATACCCTATGGTTAAAATTGTTATATTTGGAGTCTAGGATGCCTGTTTCATCATATTTGGGAGTCATCAGCCCCGTCCATCTTCAGCCTTAATGGGTGATGGTGTTCCTACTAAGACTTGAACTCAAAACTAATCGCTTCAAGCGTCAAAGTAACTAACATATGGACTAGTGATTTCTCCTATTAATCGCTGAACAAAATCATGTCTCTATCGGCGGAACCAATGTTTCATTTTAACCCTAAAATATCCTATGTAGATGGTTATTTAATATTTAGTGATTTATCTGATTTTATTTCCGTTTCAGGCGAGTCAGAAATAAGAATTTGTAACATTTAGTATTATAACCGCATACGAAACGTTTCCTTGGCAATCTCTGAGTCAGCTGCATTATGAAAATTCGTCCCGCTTTAATTTTGACTGCTTTAGCATCCTCCCAACTGCAATCTCCAATTCTCGATGAGACTTCAAATAAACCTTCATCGTATGAATATCAGTACCATCGAAAGCCACCACCCCTTATTATAGAATATAAAAACCGTGCAAGAAACATGATGTGCAGATTTAAGGTGAGTAGTTGACTCATTATACTCTATATGTAATGTTTTAGGAAAAGATGGGTTGTCCGGGTATTTCTGTTTGCGTTTCCCTATCAGGAAGTATTATTTATCAAGAAGGTTAGTAAACAATAGTATCTAAAACAAAAGGTCTATATGATTCAGAACTGTAAATACCAATCAGTGAATTTTTTTACACTTATTCATTTTATAGGTATTGGTTACGCTAACGTTGAACACATGGTACCAGTTAAAGCAGATACAGTCTTTCGGATTGCTAGTATTAGTAAGCCATTTACTTCACTATTAGTTGGAAGATTGTTGGATCAAGGCAAGTTGGACCTCGATGAGGACATTCGTACTTATTTACCTGAATTTCCTGAGAAAATGGTCGATAATAAATACGTATGTTTCCAATATTTTGTTAGTAAATGTGTCTTTATAATCTTAATTGTAACCATCTATGCATGTTAATTACTGAACATTTACCAATTTTCGCATATGTTCATTAATCAGACTTTACTCTTAAGTACTTGGTACTTGGCTCATCTCTAGATCTCCATGTTTTCGAATTTAATTTTCGCTCCGATTATGAAACAATACTGCGAAGCACTATAGTATATATCTCGTTTATCGTCATATGTATGAAGCTTCACGTGAATAAATGATTATCGTTACAACTTGGATGATGCACATCATAACAGTAGGCAAGCGAATTGTTCTTGAGCATCTGGATAAATATCCTTAATAAATCCTTGTTCACTATTCTGCACACTGTAAATAATCTCTATGTAAAACAAATGATCTCTTGTCTTCCAATTTTTAATGTTATTCTTACCGACGGTACTTCACTTCCATTTAATTTTTTAACTGGGCACTTTTATTATATATCAAGTAATTGCTATTGTTTTTGTAAAACAAGTGCATTTTGTAACACGTTTTAATCATCTATTCAATGCATCATTTTATAGTTTCTTGTAAAGCATTTTACTGATTTCGTGGTGAAAACATCTGACGAATAACTGACTGCCGTTAAACCATATCTGTCACTATTATTTAGTTTAACTTTTAAAAATATGTCGATTATCTCACCTGGTTGTCTTACAGTAATAGATATGTCGTCCTAGGGATTAATTGGAGTTGTTAACTGAAGGATTATCACCTCAACACTTATGAACTTGGCATCTCATATTTGTTAATAATAAGTATTCAGCTGTTTTCCATTCACCCGTTTATTCGACCAATGAAGTTTTATGCATATACTCTTGTTTTTGTGTATGCACGGGCTTACTTACTACTTGATCCCAGTAGGTAGTCATATGTGTGCGGGCCGTCTGAACGGGTCCATTAGAAGAAGGAAGGGCAGCGTTACCCGTCGGTCTTTTCATAGTCTCCTTCTACTCCCTAACCGACTGCAGTTCTGATGAATTAAATGATAGTTTTTATTAGAAACCGTCTAGTTTGCTGCAAAAAGCAAAACGCTCCGATATACTTGTTTTAGCAGGAGACTTCACTTCCCAGGTAGAGAATTTATGCCAGACTGAGAAGCATATTAGTGGTACGTACGGAGTTCCTATCCAACGAACCGACAACGGTGGTTGTCTTTTACAGTTCTGTTCAGATAATCATCTGTTCCAAGTCAGCACTAACTTTAAGCACAAAGAGAGACATTGCTTAACCTGGAGACCCATCACCGAATCAACGTTGGATTCAAGTAGACCACGTTGGTATAGGCTGTCGTTGGCTAGGGTCGGTAGAAAACTGTCACGCCTTTTGGAACACGTACGTAGACTACGATCACGCCCTGGTTCACGCACGTTTATGCTTACAGTTAAACTGACATAAAAAGCTGTTGGCAGCGAGGCAGTTACGCACCCAACTTGATCAGGACACTGAGTCCATATTTAAGGGAGAAATAACGAAACGCGTATCTGAGGTCATCAGAAAGACGTCTCCTGAGGTAGCCTGGCACAATACACAGTTAGCTTTAGACACAGCTGCAAGGGCTGTTAATAACCTAAACCAAAAGCTAGTAAAAGTCAGTGTATTTCTACTACCACATCCTAACTGATTAAGGCAAGAAGACTGATTTTGGCGAGCTCTGAATATGATGAAGAACTAAAGCTGCTCAAACGCAAACCGACAGGAATTCTTCGCAACGACCGTAAACAGTGGTGGGCGACAAAAGCGAAAGAGATGGAGAAGGTATTGGCGATAGGTAACACCAGGCAACTATATAGACTTATCAGGTGGCACAAGGCAAATGATAAGTGAAACAATCTCCGAAGTATGGCACCATAATTAGCTCTCAGGATAGATGACTGGAACGTTTGAAGGAACACTGAGGAGCAATTTAACTGACCTGCAGCCATACTCAACTTACCCAGCAGCTGACACCTCCCTGAATGGGATATAAACACCGACTGTCCGTCCCTAACTGAGGTTACAGAAGCTGTCTCTAATCTGAAACGAGATGAAGCAGCGGGACTTGATGGAGTGACTCCAGAAATGTTTAAAGACAGTAGAGAGAGTTAGCTGTATGCTATTAGGCAGCGTCTGGGAATCAGGGATAGTCCCGTTAGGCTGGTGTAAGTCATTTATTATCCCGATATACAAGAAGGGAGACAAGTCTTCCTGTGATAATCACAGGGGAATTATTATTATTATTGTTCCCTTGGGTTCCTAGTGGAACATAGGGCTTCAACTGCACGTCTCCACTTGCTTCTGTCTTCTGCTGTTCTTTTCACTTGCGTCCATGTTATTCCATACTGTTTCATCTCCTCCTCACACGATCTCCTCCATGTCACCCTTGGACGTCCCACTCGCCGCTTCCCTTTCGGGTTCCACTCGAGGGCTTGACGCGCGATGTCACTCAACGGCCTCCTCAGCGAGTGTCCAATCCATCTCCACTTCCTCCTGCATATTTGTTGGGCGATTGGTTCCTGTTTCGTTTGTTCCCATAGCTTCTTGTTTGTGATTCTTTCTGGCCATCTAATCTTCAGTATGGAGCGAAGACAGTTGTTGATAAAGGTCTGCAACCTGTTGAAAATATTCTTGGTGACCCGCCAAGTTTCTGATCCGTAAAGCAAAATTGACTTGACGTTTGTATTGAAAATCCGAATTTTGTTGTTGATGCTGAGTGACGAAGATTTCCAGATTGGTTTCAGGTTGATGAATGTGTTTCTCGCCTTCCCGATTCTCAATTTGACATCCTCGTCCGTTCCTCCTGTGGTTGAGACAATGCTCCCCAGATAAGTGAAAGAAGTAACCTCTTTCAAATCCCTCCCGTTGATGGTGATTGGCACTGGATGTTGCTGCTGTTGTTGGTTGGTTATTTTCATAACCTCCGTCTTGTCTATGTTCACCTGGAGTCCTGTCTTTGCTGCTTCTTCGACCAGTTTGTCGGTTTTCGCTTGTAAGTCTTCGATTTTGTGTGACATCAAACATAAATCATCCACGCGCGAAATCCAGGTCTTCTAGGTTCTTCACGTCGGTCCAGGATATCCCTGTCTTCTCGTTCCCCACTGTCTGACGCATAATCCAGTCCACCACAATTAGGAATATCATTGGTGATAATAAGCACCCTTGTCTGACTCCTGTGTTTACTCCAAACGCTTCGCTGAGTTTTCCGTTGTGGATCACTTGACATGTGCCGTTGTCGTACAGTTGTTGAATAAGGTTGATGAGTATTTGCGGTACGCCGTAGTACTCGAGTAGTTTCCAAATTACTTCGCGGTCAACGCTGTCGAAGGCCTTCTCAAAGTCTATGAAGTTGAGGTAGAGATTTGATTGCCATTCCATGCTTTGTTCGATGATAATGCGTAGAGTTGCAATTTGGTCAGAACATGATTTGCCTTTCCTGAATCCAGCTTGTTCTGGTCGGAGTTCTGTATCCAGCGCGTCCTTGATTCTCTCCAGGATGATGCGACTCAGGATTTTACTTGGCGTCGACAGGAGCATGATTCCTCGCCAGTTCTTGCAGAGTCCCAGGTCGCCCTTCTTTGGTAGTTTCACCAGGTAACCTTTCCTCCAGTCAGTAGGCACCTTTCCCTCTTTCCAGATCTTTTGCAATAATGGAGTCAGCATATCTGCTGTCGTCTCTGGGTCCGCTTTCAGTGCTTCAGGGGGTATTCCATCTGGTCCAGCTGCTTTTCCAGCTTTCAGAAGCTTGATTGCATTCATGACTTCAGTTTTCGTTGGAGGATTGGTGTCAACTTGCAGTTGTGTACGTGCTGTTGTTGGTATTACTGGACGGGTTGTAGGTGGTGGTCGGTTCAAGAGTCCTTTGAAGTGGTCCGCCCATTGTTTAATCTGTCTTTCTTCTTTGGTAATTGGGTTCCCTTGGCTGTCTTTTATAGGTTTCACTTGTGTTGATCTCTTCCCGGATAGAGACTTGGTTATCTGATATAGTGTCCTCAGGTCCCTTTTGCCTGCTGCCTTCTCAGCTTCAGTAGCCAGGTTGTCGTAGAATTGTCTTTTGTCCTTCCTGGCACTCTTCTTCACTTCTTTGTCCAGTGCTGTGTAAGTTGAGTTCAGCGTCTCTTTCTCTTGTCCATCTTTGCATTGAATCATTTTCTCTTTCACTTTTCTCCTCTCCTCTATTAGTTTCCAAGTGTCTGTTGAGAGCCATTCCTTGTCTTGTTTCTTCTTTCTTCCTAAAACCGTTGAGCACGTTTCGTTGAAAATCACCTTCAGAGAGTTCCAATGGTCTTCCACGGATGATTCCTCAGTGGTGCCACGTAGTGTTTCCTGCTTTGCTCTGACAGTTGCAGTGAAAATGTCCTGTGTGATTGTGTCCTTCAGTTTGTGAGTGTTGAACTTGCATTGTGGCCTATCCCCAGGTATCCTCGAGGCTTTCAGCTTCACCTTGAAAGTCCCTTGTACCAGATAGTGGTCTGAACCCACATCTGCTCCTCTCCTCGATCTTGTGTCCAGTAGGCTCCGTCTCCACTTCCTTGAGATTGAAATGAAGTCTATCTGGTTTTTGGTGTGTCCATCTGGTGAAATCCATGTTGCCTTGTGTATATCCCTGTGTTTGAACACACTGCCACCAATCACCAAATCATTGAAGGCGCAGAAGTCTGAGAAGAGTTCGCCATTTTCGTTCATTTCACCGAGGGCCTCACGACCCATGGTGAGTTCTCTTCCTCTGTTGTCTCCTCCCAGTTTCGCATTCATGTCGCCCATCAGGATTTTGATATCGCTCTTTGGGACGTTGTCCATTACTGTTTGTAGTTGACTGTAGAAATCCTCCTTCTTCTCATGTTCTGAGGCGTTTGTAGGCGCGTAGCACTGAATGATTGTAACCTTTTTTCCTTTTGAGTTGAACCTGGCTGTCATTATCCTGGAGGAGATTGGTTCCCACTGCATGAGAGCTTTAGCTGCTGTTGGTGACATCATGATGGCTACTCCCTCGGTGTGCTCGTGATTGTCCTCTGGGTGACCGGAGTAGATTATTGTCTCTCCAGTTGATAGTTGGCTCCTTCCACATCCGTTCCATCTGCTCTCGCAGATTCCCAACACTTCTATTCTATATCTCCTCATTTCTGCGGCTACCTGAGCAGCCTTCCCAGCTTCGTACATTGTACGAACATTCCACGTCCCCATCCTTATTTTCGCTTTCATCGAAAGAAGGCACATCGGCTGACTGGCTTCCCGAAGGCTTTCACCAGCCCGCGTCATTTCACTTCCCCGATTCCAGCGAAAAATAAGGTCACTATTTGTAATTTTAGAATTTTGAATATATTTGTGCGTTGAAGTTTTAGTAGCAATTTGGTTAAGTTTTGGGGGTGGAGTTGCTAGCACCACGCCCCAACCCTCCCTCTTTATCCGGGCTTGGGACCGGCTAGAATACTAGTGACCTAGTAATCTAGGCGAGGTTCACAGGGGAATTAGCTTGACCAATATAATATCTTAAGTTTTAGGCTCAATAATCATGGGTAGACTAAGCGGTCCATGGGAGGAACAAACACGAGAAAATCAGGCAGGCTTTAGGCCAGAAAGACGATGCATTCATTATATATTCAAACTTCGACCAATTCCAGAACACTGGCATACTTACCGGCGTCCAATAATAATACTTCTTGACGTGAAAGCGGAATTTGATTCCGTCGACCGGGAGTTACTATGGCAATGTTTGACTGTGAAGGCAATGCCTAGAAGATACATCGCAATGACCAAAGCACTCTACTCGAACTCATGCAGTCAGCCAGGTGAGAGTTTATGGAGAGTTATCATCTGAAGTGGTGTCAACCAGTGGTGCCTCACATGAGTGCCCACTGTCCTTATTTCTGTCTAATTTCATCACATATGTACTGATGGACTTAACCCTGACTGACTTCAGCGACTCAGGGATTGATTTTTCTGTTACCAGGGAAAAAATCTTGATGTAGAATAAGCAGATGATATAGTCCTTCTAGGCGGAAACGCTGACAAAATGCAGAGTTTTCTGAACACCTTGAGGAGCAGCAATCTTCTAATGTTTGGCACGCGATTTGCTCCCGCTTTCAAATCTAAGATGATGCTACAGGACTGTACTACATTGACTCCTAGCTTAGAAATAGGGAGTGAAGTGTTAGAGCACGTTGACCATTGTACTTATTTGGGAAGTTGCATCAGCCCCAACGGGTTGATCGCCAGCGAAATCTCAGCAGAGATACAGAAGGTTCGTTTGGCATATGCCAACTTATACCATCTCTGGTGTAGACGTGATATCCGGCTGTCTGTGTCTTCCTTTATGGCTGTGGGACATGTCCATTGAAAGTGGAAGATAAGAAAGGGCCAGCTGCCCTTAATCACTGCTGTCTGGATTCTATCTCCCGTGTTAGATGGTATAATAGGGTGAGCAATATTGAGGTTAGGCGTCGATTGCTAGGTAAGGAGGGAAAATCAACCGACGAGGTTGTGAAGTTATGTCGACTGAGATGGTTGGGACGTGTGTCGCGTATGCCTGCCTAGCCATCGCCTTCCTCGACGTGCAATGTTGACTGACATGGGATCAGGTTAGAAAAGAGCTATTGGTGATCAAGACAGCACATGGCTTTATCAGTCAATGAAATCCACAACAGTTAGTTTAAGCCAGCCACGTCGGGAGGTGTAGACTTTTTGGCTAGTTGCGGCTCCCGGTGTAACGACAGAAGACAAGGGCCAAGCAACAGATCGTTTATTGAGAAAATCAACAGATATTTATAGATTTTTATGTACATTATTATTCGTTATTTTCAGCAGAGAGGTATCGTCTTCTGATTGGTTGTTTTCCTGCTGAAGCTAATTCAGTTATCTCTTTGTTGCTGTTTCTTAGGCTGCCCGTTGATATTTCTGCGAATTGTAGCCGCCCACGCAAAGTCTGCCGTGATTGGTCAGTCTTTGTTCTTCTTTTGTTTTCATGACCAAGATTTGGGACATAAACATTGGCGTAAATTACTGTCTACCAATTTTGGCTAGCAGACAGCTCTCACCACACCGGGATGGTAAAAATCAGTGACTGAAGGCAGTTAATGATATGGCTCAAAATTGTTCTCAGTGGCTGGCGGAGATGCATTCACTCTTTGTGATTTATCATATCCAATAAAACTCTAATATTCTTCCGTATTACTACTCTTTTTGTCTCACACTTCCGTTAATTATCTGTCTTTTGAATCTCTCTTTACTCTCTCCTCCTGTTTTTCGCGCTACATGGAGTGTGTCAACTCAAACTGCTGCACATCTGTCCAAAGTCCTATGTTGAAACCAGTTAGGCACCTTTTTCATCTATTTTAGGGAAAAAAAGAACTGGCTATTGGATAAAGTACAGGATTGGGGCGCATTTATTTTGATGCTTCACTTCCGGCCACCAGATAGCAGGTCCAAATCCTGTTCCACCTACAGTAGTTGGCCAGCCAGGTAGTTCCAGTGGCCTTCACGAATGGGTCTGGCTCATTACCAATTGTATGGATATTCAAATCGTTTTTGAGATGTGCAGCATGTGTGTTAGATATGGTTTGATTTCCTTCCATGTGTCATGTATGAATTCATAATCTTTTATTTCTTTTTGTTTTAGGCCAAGATAACCGTTCGAACGTTGCTAAATCATACAAGTGGTATTCGTAGTTATAAGAAGAATACTGATAAGAACGAAGAACTGGTGAGTAAATTTATCATTCCCTCCCCTTTAACCTTAATATTTGCATCAAATCAAAAAATGTCAACTTAATCATGAAGTTTTTTCCATAGTAGAATTTTTTTTTCTCAGGGCTCGTATGCTGAGCGTGCTTCACAAATACTCTGAAAGGAAAACCAAATCAATTTTAAATTTAAATGAAGCAAGGACTACAAATGAATGAGGAGAATCTAAGCTCATTGTTGGTTATTATTTCGTGGATTCTTCTCAACTGGTTACATCCCGAACAATACCAAAATTATAAATCAAATTAAAGATCTGAACATGCTTTTTACAGTGATAAGGACTAATTGATTGGAACTAAGAGTAACATTGATCAGGAATGATGTAAGCTGTTAAATAATGAAAAATGAAAAGGATCGACTATTTATAGAAGGATTACATGACTAGGCGTCGAAACAACAGGACACAGTTCAACCGGTGTTTTGTGGGTAGAAACAAAGTTTAACTTGAAAGAGTACTTGCTGCAAAGAGTATAAAGAGTGATAGATTACGTAACCACAGAAAAACACGTTTTCATAAAACAGACAAAAGAAAGGGCAAGATGAGTCATGTTCCGACGAAAAAATCAGGGTTTCTAAACAGGAGAGAAGATGACGTAGTGAATTCCGTATGCTATGTTATCACCAAAGCAGTACAAGACTCACCACGGTCTCTTTCTGCGTACATAGGTTTTGTATTGGCCGTTTGATGGCGATTGCCTCAGAAAAACGAAGTAGGTTATGTTTGTCTTTTGTCTGTTGATTATTTTGAACACCTTCAGATTGTCTACAACATGGCCAGTGCCCAGTAAATGGCGTGCAATCGCACCTTTTAGTGCTTATGGGCTCTTTAGTCTCAAGTTCTTTGGTATGTGTTCAGAGATGCAGACAATAACTCTTCTCTTTGTTCCTCTAATATATGTGCTTTGACCCGTACATGTAAATTGGTTGACACACTTGAAGGTAACATGAGGTGGGAGTTTATCCACTTTTGACTGTCTTAAATAACTGATTGTTCAATAAACACATACAAGCTTGGTGGCTAGATATGTTCATTCCAGGGCAGCGTTCAGTCTGCATCTTATTCTACTTGCAGTATCGTCACCTTTGAAGGCAAGCTGTAGAAAGATGGACTTTCTCTCTGTTGTGTTGTACGTCACCTTATCAACATTATGTTTTCCATGTTTGTGGATGGACTTCTGTGGGTAACAGTTATCACGCAGGTATTTTTCAACAGTAGATAGTTCTTCCTCAACTTTTTCTTCTGAACAAAACTTCCTTACACAATCAAACAGTGTTCTCACTAATGCCTTTTTGTAACTTATAGGGCAGAAGCTTTTAAAGTTCATGTAAATCGCTCTCCAGGTCTCCTTTCTGGAGATGTACCTTACGATGTTACCATCTTTATCATGTTTGATGCCAAGGTCCAGAAAGTGAAACTTGGCCTCATCGTCACACTCCATTGTAAACTTTATATTAGGATGAACACTATTCAGGACGTTTAATATTTGAGATGCGTTATCAAAACAATCACAAATGACAAACTTGTCATCGACATACCTGGTATAGAAATCTGTTTGATCAATTGCTGACTTCATTCTTGTTTGTTCCAGGTTTCCCATAAAAAATGTCTGCCAGAATCAGACCAAGCGGACTTCTCATCGCTATTCCATCAATGCGGCGGTGCAGAGAATTGTTAAATTGAAACTGTATGTTTTTAGTACATATTAGCAGCAGCTGTCTGAGTTCATTCTTTGACAGAGAAATGAGATCAGTATGCTGACATATAATGTGTATTGTTTCTTCTAGTGGGGTCTTTGTAAACAGCGAAGAGACGTCAAATGACACCATGAATTTATTTGAGATATATAAATGCCCTAATTGTTTAGCAAACTGAAGGGTGTCTCTCAAGCTAACTTGGCACAGATTGGCTCCAGTAGTTCTGCTAGCCACCAAGCTACGGAGAATCGACCTTGGATAGTATTGGTCTTATGAGAACGTTGGTTTTATGCGTCCTTGGTAAGCGGTATAAGTAAGACAATCTGGATCCTCTAGGCTTCAGTTCATTATCTCTTGTTGTCAATCAACTTCTTCAAAAGTTCTCTTAGTTTCTTGGTAATTTGTCTTTTCATCGATTCAGGTCGATCTTTTTTTTTCAAATGATCAATTCGAAATGTTGATGTTTCACTTAAAACTGATTTGACTTTCTGTACATAATCATCTTTGTCCATTATCACAAACCCTGCTGCTTTGTCGCGTGGGAGAATAACAATATATTTATTGTGAGTTAAGTTTCGTAATGTTATCTGATGATCTTTCAACGAAACTGTAGACTTAGAATTTGGGGATATAGTGTATTGATTAGTAATATCAGCAAGTCGAGATTTAAACCAGCTTTGTTTCTCTTCATCCATCGGTTTTAATTTAGATAACTGATGATACAAACCTTCGAATTGGGCTTCAACGTTAATTTTCTCGGTAATATTCGTCGGAATGTGGAATTTGAAACCTAGCGAAAGTGCTTCCGTTTCCATCTGACTCAGCTTATAACTATTATTATTATTGTTTAAACACGAAAAACTCGGTACAATAAGGCACCAAAAAGATGCGTCACACAATAATAATAAAACAACATAGATTAAAAGTAAAAATATAGGTAGAGAACGGATAAAGAAATTCATCTGGATGGAGAGCAGTCACATTTCACAAGTTCAAACAGCATTCGTCAATTGTCGTCGGGAAGGGAAGGAGGAATTTCAAGCACGTTCGCCATTGATTACGGTTCTTGACCATATCCGATAACATTTCGAGCTATCTCTCGGACTCCAACCAGGCAGATGTGACGCACCAACCGATGTTAATCTAGCCCAAATATCCTTCATCCCACGACGCCACGTCATGAACTGACCACTTCTCCGCTTTTTCCATCCCATCCCAGGGCTAGCGAACAGAAACCAGTACGGAAGCCTCTGAGATGACATTCGTAGCACATGTCCAAGCTACCGAAGACTGTGTATCCAGATGACGACACTCAACGAATGATGATCTCCACTGTGTCCAAACAAGCGCCTGTGGACCTCAGAATTACTCACGCGATGATGCCATCAAACGCAAGTAATTCTATGGAGACAGAGACGATAGAATATGCAGAGTCGCTGCATATACTGAGCTCGGTGAGGCCAGGTTTCGCAGGTGTAGAGCAAGACAGTACGCACTGAAGCATTGTATACCCGACCTTTGACAGTCGGTCTAACGTCACAACGGCGCCAGAGGTGGCTCAAGTTGACTTACGCCACCGTAGCTTTCGTGATACAGTTTGGAATCTCATCTGTCACCCCTCCGCTAGCACTCACACAACTACCGAAATACACAAACTTATTGACAACTGCAAGCAGTTCACCTGGAAGAGTGAGTGCAGGTACAGGCTCCTGCCAATCTTGTAACAGTACCCTGCACTTAGACTGCGCAAAGCGCATACCATACTTACAGGCACTGATCGCTAACTGACTAAGTGTGATTTGGGCCGTCTGCATACTATCACACAGTAAGATGATATCGTCCGCATACTCGAGATCAGAAAGTGTTTCTTCAATGAGCAGATCTACACCTCCATCACACACGTCCTGCAGAGCTGACGCCAGAATGTCATCGATGGCAGCATTAAAGAGAAATGGGGAGATTGGGCGACTGTGTCTAGCCCCACTGTTGGTTGGCAAAAGTGATGATATCTGGTTGTCCCCTCATTATACCTGAGGTGTTTCTGTATAGTACTTTCATAATGTTGACAAACTTCCCACGTACACCCTTCTCTAACAAAAAGTTCCGGAGAACAGTTCTGTCCAACGAATCGAAGGCAGCCCTAATATCAACAAACATAACAGTTGTTGTCCTGCAATATGTGTGGCGGTGTTCCTACAACTGACGAAGGGTGAACACGTGATCAATGAATCTACGGCCTGAACGAAACCCAGCCTGTTCTTCGCGAATCAACCCCTCACGTGTTTTGCACAGATTGCGAAGCAAAACAGCAACCAATAGTTTAGACACAACTGGTAGCAGACTGATACCCCAGTGGTTGTTGTATATATTAATCAACCGTTTTTGATGATGGCTTCACTCCACATTGATGGCACATCCTCAAATTCCCATGCTTTCTTGAAGAAACTGGTCAAAGCCATGACGACAGTCTCGCCAGCATCTTTAAGAGTAACCGGGGGTAAGTTGTCTGGGCCGGTAGGCTTATGGCGTTTCAACACTTGGAGTTCCTTCCTGACCTCCACTTCGATTGGTGGGTCGGTATTGCCCAACCAATGAGCACTGTAGCTGATGAAAGTGGATACTGGCGCTAGTGGCCAGCATCCCAGGCGTCTTCTCAGGCTGGTAACTGTCGTGCCATCTGCCTCGCAGACCGTCTCCTTGACACCCTGTTTCTTGCTGCTGGCAGCTCGGATGAGCTGGAACAGCTTCCAACTGTTACCAGATGCAGCTGCTGACTCCATCTCACAAGCACATCCTGACCATTAGGCTGTAAGGAACCCGAAGAAACCTAGTGATTTTTAGCGGAGCATTCTTTCATGCCACAAGCGGTTACACTCGCCGTTTGCATAGAGCCTTGCAGATGAAGCCGATGTTTATCTATACTACTTGGAGGGTTGCTAGCAAGCATTGATTGTAACTCAGCCTAGTATTTCAACGAGGTAGCAGTTTTTACCAGTTTGCTGACGTCAGCATATGGATAACGCCGTTTATGAACCACCACCAAATCGCAAGACGAGCCTGGAAAACACCAATGTATGGTTAGAGTCCAGGCATGCGCTCCAGAAGTGGCGGCAGTCCTGTATGCATTCTCGCCACCGGAAACTGATAGCAATATTACGAATCAGAGTCTGGGTTTGATTAGCAGAAGGAGGACGCCAAGTAGCGCTACGGCGAATGTTGTGCCGGAAGTTGGTGTTGGCTAGAAATAGGTTGTGATCTACGCAAAGCTGCAGAAGACGGTCCCCATTATCTAACCTGCGACCATGTAATCCGCACTGAGCACCTAAACGACTCTGCTCTAAGCCTAGACGCCTCACTTGTACATTAAAGTCCCCAGCCAGCACTACGATATGTCTCCGACGTGCTTGTTTCAACAGATCGCCCAGTTGGTAGTAGGACTCTTCCTTAATTGCATCCGGTCTGCAATGCGTTGTTGCGTAGGCAGAGACAACAAATAGGCACCGCCTATCTGGCCTAGCACTCCTTACTTTCGTATAAACTCATAGCCGATAAACAACTGTTTATGGGGATCTAGTCGAGTAATGAGGCTTCGGCTCTATCATTTGGTGTGACACTGACGCCATAAGGTATATACTATTCGAACTTTCAGATGGAAACGATAGTCGAAGCATTTCACTGGGATTTTGAATGCGGATCTGCGATATTCAGCAGACATCGACAGCTAGGCTTTCCAATGTTCTTACCGAACCTGCCTGTTGTCCGATTCGCATCAGTGCTGACGAAAGTGAAGACACCAAAGATAACAAAATAAAAACACAAAAGCTAATATATAAAAATAGGGTTAAAGAAAGCATCACTTGAAATATCATTTATGTTCAAGAGCGTTGTAATAAACATGGGAATAGTTTTGACGGCATTTCGTTGTTTCATTGCATTGATTGTGTGAGGGTTGAGGTACTGCCTGAGCGCCCAGACCGAAGCAGGTGGTTATCTTAAGCGACTGCTTCCGGAGGCTTTGACTTGGGGTTTAGTCCGCAAGTCAGCGTCAGCAGCTGCGTTCCCATGATTGCCAGTGACCAATACAGGTTCATACGCCATTTGATCCGATTGGATTCTGGAGACCATGTATCCCATATTAACTGCTTTTAGATTAACCGCTATCCAAACAACCTTCCCGACATGATAGGACCTGCAGGAACATAAGTCTCAGCCAATTTAGCTTGTTTGGTCTAAGCGGTATTCAAACCTCACCACCACGGCAAGATAACGCTTGTCGGCCTGGCTTATAAACAGACAAGTTAAACACGAATTTTTCAGGATTCTCCGAAGTACCTTCGTATATTGTTTCTCTTGAAAGTCTTTGAAAAATTTTTCTCAAATGTTATGCTTGTTTTATTCTGTACTTCTCGATAAAATCCGGAAACTTAATTCTACATACTCAGTTGTCATATTGTTTAATGTATGCCAACTTATGCCATCTCTGGTGTAGACGTGATATCCGGCTAACTGTGTCTTCCTTTATGGCTGTGGGACATGTCCATTGAAAGTGGAAGATAAGAAAGGGCCAGCTGCCCTTAATCACTGCTGTCTGGATTCTATCTCCCGTGTTAGATGGTATAATAGGGTGAGCAATATTGAGGTTAGGCGTCGATTGCTAGGTAAGGAGGGAAAATCAACCGACGAGGTTGTGAAGTTATGTCGACTGAGATGGTTGGGACGTGTGTCGCGTATGCCTGCCTAGCCATCGCCTTCCTCGACGTGCAATGTTGACTGACATGGGATCAGGTTAGAAAAGAGCTATTGGTGATCAAGACAGCACATGGCTTTATCAGTCAATGAAATCCACAACAGTTAGTTTAAGCCAGCCACGTCGGGAGGTGTAGACTTTTTGGCTAGTTGCGGCTCCCGGTGTAACGACAGAAGACAAGGGCCAAGCAACAGATCGTTTATTGAGAAAATCAACAGATATTTATAGATTTTTATGTACATTATTATTCGTTATTTTCAGCAGAGAGGTATCGTCTTCTGATTGGTTGTTTTCCTGCTGAAGCTAATTCAGTTATCTCTTTGTTGCTGTTTCTTAGGCTGCCCGTTGATATTTCTGCGAATTGTAGCCGCCCACGCAAAGTCTGCCGTGACTGGTCAGTCTTTGTTCTTGTTTTGTTTTCATGACCAAGATTTGGGACATAAACATTGGCGTAAATTACTGTCTACCAATTTTGGCTAGCAGACAGCTCTCACCACACCGGGATGGTAAAAATCAGTGACTGAAGGCAGTTAATGATATGGCTCAAAATTGTTCTCAGTGGCTGGCGGAGATGCATTCACTCTTTGTGATTTATCATATCCAATAAAACTCTAATATTCTTCCGTATTACTACTCTTTTTGTCTCACACTTCCGTTAATTATCTGTCTTTTGAATCTCTCTTTACTCTCTCCTCCTGTTTTTCGCGCTACATGGAGTGTGTCAACTCAAACTGCTGCACATCTGTCCAAAGTCCTATGTTGAAACCAGTCAGGCAACCCACATCTATCTCATTGTTTGATAAATTAGTCCTAATATATCTTCCATATTTGCAATTTTTTAGGACTATCCTGAAATGTTAAGTAACGTGCGTTTTGAAGATACGATGAATGCATGCGATATGTTCAAAAATGATCCATTAGTTCACACACCTGGTGTTCAATTCACTTATAGTACATTTGCATTTACATTACTATCAGCTGTTATTGAAAAAGTATGTTTGGTGAAAGGCGATTTATTTGAACGTTCATCTCCAACCGTTAAAATGGGGTTGAATACATCTGATAGTGATAATAAGGGGAACAAGGGAAAAAAATCAAACGATCTTCCGAAATGGGCAAGATTTGATACTCATTTATCAAGGCTTTTTCAGTATCTTAGTTTGAGCAATACAAGTTTAGAATATCCTGAAGAAATTACATCTTCAAGAGCTGCGTGAGTTATTTGATTATTGTGGGTAGTATTAGTTGTTTTTTAAAATTTTTTTATGATTAGAAGTGATTCACCAATAGCTCTTAATTTTTGCATAATGTTAAATTTCAGTTGTATATTAATGCATTAAAAAATATTGGAGACCTATTCATTTGACTCAGTGAGATTTTGTTACATAGTTTTGATCCATGATTAATGTTTACTGTTCTTCTCCGGCTATTTCACAGTGTCATTAATTCTTATGAACAACTGTGTTATGTGTCAAACTTGAGTGAATGACCTTCATTACACTGAGGTTTAGGTATTTTAGGTTGGAAAATAGCATATATAAATTTCGATAGAGAAAGAAAGACCAGATTTGCAGTATAAAATGATATCATTCTATTTCACAGGTTCTCATCAGCTGCAAACTACCTGAAATTACAATGGTTATAATTAATAACATTTCATACTTCATTGTTTGAAAGGTAATACAGAAAGCATTATAAGATAAACGCATCCGGAATATAAGGATTAAAATTTTTGTAGCTTAAGTTACCATCAATTTATATACTATCAATCTATGGCAAAAAGAAAGAAAAAGGGGGGGGGGTGAGAGAAGACAGAAAACAGAAAAATCTAATAAACAGTGTCAACATGGCAACTCAACAAGGTCAAAGTTCATCAATTTGAAAACTTGCTTAGTGAGTTGAACTCACTAGTGTCTATGAGTAATCACTGTAATGAAAGTGATATGGTTACCAAGGGAGTGAGAGATTGACTACACTCTCTTTCTGTGTGCATAAGTTTGGTCTGAAGCGTTTGATTGCAATTGCTTCAGCAAATCGTAGTAGATTCGCTGTCCTTTGTATGTTTAATATTTTGAAGGATTTGGAAATCTCAACAAAATGGCCTGTATCCACAAGGTGTCTGGTAATTGCACTTTGTAAATATTTGCTTCCTTTTAAGCATAAGTTTCTCGGAATATGCTCTGAAAACCGGATAGAAGCCCTTCTTTCTGTCCTTCCGATGTACTTGCTGCCGCAGGTGCACGTAAATTTATAAATGCAGTTGGAGGTAACATCAGCAGGGTATTTATCCAGTTTCGATTGGCTTATAGAGCATGTAGTACTGTATAGTGTCACTAGATTGGCTGCAGGGAAGCATCTCTTGATTGCCCCTTTCATCCTTTTTTCAATCTTTCGCGATACTGTTTCTCCTTTGAATGGGAGGCAAATGAATACTTTCTTCTTTTCAACTGTTGGATGCTTCTCTTTCTCATCTCTTTCTTTGCTGTACTTTTGGATAAATCCTTTTGGATACCCGTTCTCCTTAAGGCATTTTTCAACGAAGCTTAATTCTTCTTCTATCTTGTTGGGCGAACATAACCTCCTAGCCCTGTCGTACAGTGTCCTTACTAATCCTCGCTTATAGCTCATAGGGCAGAAGCTGTTGTAGTGAAGGTATTGTCCGGTCCAAGTTTCTTTTCTGTAGATGGACTTTTCGACCGTTCCATCGTCTCTTCTTTTTACATTTAGATCTAAGAAATTGAACTCATCGTTGTGTTCGTATTCCATGGTGAATTTAATGTTTGGGTGGACCTCATTTAGGCGGTCAAATAATACGGATGCCTGACTCATGTCGTTACAAACAACAAAAGTATCATCAACGTATCGACGGTAGTATGTTGTTTCATTGATAGCGTCACTCAGTCGCGTCTGTTCCAGATAGCCCATGAAGATATCTGCTAGAATGGGTCCTAGAGGTGAACCCATGGCGACCCCATCGATTTGTCGGTAGAATTGGTTATTGAATCTAAATTGAATGTCTTTTGTGCAAAGAATTAGTAGTCGTCTCATCTCTGACTCCGGTAATGGCAATAGATCCGTTTGTTTACAAATGATATCTATTGTTTCCATCACTGGTACATTTGTAAATAAGGCAGTCACGTCGTATGATACCATTAGTTTATTGGATATGTCAACGTGATCGACTTCTTTAGAAAATTGGAAGGTGTCATCCAAGCTATGATTTGAAAATTTTTGTCGAATTGGCTTCAATGAATCAGCTAGCCATCGAGCTAGTTTGTGGCACGGTGAGTTTATCATTGATAGTATTGGTCTTAAGGGCACATTGGCCTTATGGATTTTTGGTAGACCGTACATAAATGGGAGTCGTCCACCCTTTGACTTGAGTTCATTGTAAGTTTTGTTGTCAATCAGTTTCTTGATGAGTAGTTCTCTGAGGCATTTATTCACTTTATTTTCGAATGACGTTGTTGCATCCTTCTTAGTTTTGTCCACCTGAAATTTTTCGGAGTCGTTAAGAATTGTCAGCATTTTATGTACATAATCAGTTTTATT